GTGTCACGCGTGAAAGCAAAATCACTACATTCTTTTTATTCTAAGAATTCTAGAATTATTCCTACACGTAATATAATTATTGTTTATTTTAAGTATTCTAAAAGAATTTCTACAAATGATGTAAACTTTGAGGCCTAAGAGAAAAATAAAATCCGCGCAGCAAAAATAATTCTTTGTACTTTTAAGTTTTTCACTAACTACAATTGACCTTCACTGATTAAGGTCACATTTTTCATCCGATCTACATAAACTGATGCGTTCTATTACACTCATTAGATAGTAGGTATAAACAGACGGGTGAACATTTTTAAAAATTAAACAAGAGGAATCAGTTTACAGTATCACTTTATTATAATTTTATGTGTCTATTTTAATCTGCTGAAAAATATGAAAACATCCATCATCAACGTGAAATAATTTGTTTAGAATTGAATGAGCAAAGCGATATAAATAGTTTTATTGTTCTCCTTATCATCAGATAACACGATGAAATGATCAGGATTCATAAAAGAACAATCAGTTGATCAAAGATTAGGTGGTAATGAGAGGAGTTTAATCGTGTTGGAAGATGCATGCACTATATGTTAGATTGATTGAAGTTAAACGGAAACGCCGCTGGAAGCTGTCTTAATGGCCTATATATTAAGGGTTCTTGCGAACCTGGAGGTGATGAGCTCTGTCCTCTTGTAAGTGACTTCATACATTTGTGCCGCGTTTTGGTTACGCTGCTCTTAACTTTCTTCCAACATAATCCTAGACAGCAAAACTTTGCTTGTCGGGACAGTCGAAGCTTGAGCATTGCTGACTTATGGTACAAACATCTCAACTAATGAAGACACAATACTTCATCAATTGATTTGCCATCCTTAATTATTACGCTTTTCCGAACACTGCAATGCTTACTCGGCGGTCCTAGGATATGTGTAGATTTGTGGAAAATTTGTACCTGGGTAACCGATCATGTTATATATTCGTATTACTACTGTTGTGAATCCTGATCACCAAGTATTATAGCTAAGAACAATGTTGAGCTTGCAGTCTTAATGTTTGTATTTAACTATCCATTACACTGTTTATACCGAGAACATGTACAATTCTTACCATGCCAACTGAGAACATGATAGGCTGGTGCAATGAAGGCATACTGACTCTCAATGATACGTCTTCCAACAAATTCTTAAATCATAGAATTCTTAAACCAACATCTACAATCACTTATAAACCACATTCCTCACACGATAATGTCACACCGGTTGGAAATAGATAGAGGCAATCTAAACACACATACTTGAATTGGTAAACGAAATATGTTAGTTATACTGGACAAAGTGTGCAGTAGGTCAGTCAGTCAGTCAGCTAAAACGTAGCGAGTCGTACGTACATATATACATCAGTTCAGGTAGCCGTATCACATTAGCACAGAGAGGTTGAATTCTCAATTCAAATACCATAGCAGAACAAGTGTTAGCGGTAATAGGGAAGGTTTGGTGTAGAAGATATGATTCAATTAGTTCTTAACAATGAAATCAACCTGAAAAGAGAAATATATAGGTAATGAGTAACTCAGATTACAATTTCGGTGAAGGTAAAGAATAATTTTTTATCCAAAATATATAATCAGTTATAAACCACATTCCTCACACGATAATATCATACAATTTGTAAATATATAGAGGCAATCTAAACACACAGAGTAAATATAGTTTACTTAAATCGATTAACGAAATATGTTAGGTATACTAGACAACGCTGGCTGTTAAGATATGTAGTGTATCAATCTCTTATGCATGGCTTGATGCATATCATTTTGAGCCTATTGAGGAAACATATATTTTGAAAGGTTATGACCAAGGCAGCGAAAGCCCTAACCAACACACTGACAAAACTGCCGGTTTTTGTTAATCTCCCAGCAGCTGTTAACAGTACAGAACAGTGGGTGAATATAAAAAGGAGAACGGCCAAACCTCAACTCACAAACGGCTACCACTCAGGGACAGAGACAATTGATTAAAGTCCCTCATTTTATTTACTGTTTCACTGCCGGAATGTCAGTTGTCTGGTGTATCTGAGATCATAGTTCCAATCGAAACATTGCTATCGCCTGACATTGCAGAAGACGAAGTGTGGTTGTATGGCATGACATAATTCGGATGCGATAGTTTACGCTGTACTGGGGGCGGAATGGCTGTTTTTACGAACAACCACTTACAAGTCAGGTGACTATGCGACACTCGACTAAGTGAGGTGACAGAATCATGTTGGTGTTTTTTCACACGAATTGCGTGAAATACTTGATTGGAGGGATCTGCCGACCTCCCACAGGTACTAAGGCCCAGAAAGACAAGCTGGCTGAGGCAATACTACAAATGCCACTCCTATACTTTAGCAATCTACCTCAGTCACACCACACACATGGGTTCTGCTCGGTGGATTGAGGTTGTAGCCTCACCGTCATGATTGCTGGTCGACACCCTTCTTCCTTCTGTGATTTTAGGCTCTCTTACCTTAGTGGTACGTTTTGATCAATGTTTGCAAAGCATTCCTTCTATAGTTCAGCGAGCTTCCCTTGAATGAATAAACTTTGATTCGTTAGCCTTATGTTCTGGAAATTCAGTCAGTCCCGATTATAAACATAACTGTCACACAAAATCGTAAAACACAAAACGAGCTTGCAGGTTATGACACTATTTCGATGTGTCGATGTGGCCACGTCCATTAACAGCCATCCAAAGACTTACTACCACACGGTACTCGACAAGCCCACTCGGCAGAATAATTCTGGTGCTGCTTCGAAACGAATGAAACAAAATACTTGATTGAGGGGATTTGCCAGACTCTCTAAAGTAAGCAAACTCAGTAAGAAAATTTGCGAAATGTTGCAACCAACACCCCTGATGCTTGACCGGAGCACATAATATTTCTAGACTTTACAAAAGCCTTTGAAACAGTACCCTACGCGCGCCTAATCGCAAAGGTTGCGGAAATAGGCTTTGCTGACCCCCTCGTTTATTGACTCAGAAACTTCCCTACGAATAGAAAATATCGTACCAAGGTAAATAGAGTGCGCGCGAACTGGCGACTATCCACATCAGGAGTTTCACAAGGGGCCATCTTAGGTCCACTTCCCTTCCGGATATTCATTAACTATCTGTTATGTACAGTTAACTCACTGGAAACGGTCTGAAACTACACCAGCTGAAATGTCACGTCACGTACATTTTGATCCCCACGATGCAATCGCTTTATATCCTCAAAGGAAGTCCACACCCTAATGTCTCCTCAGGGCGCGATTTCGGTTTCATAACCTATGGAATCCTACACACAAGTTTGAACTACATCGGGGACGCAGCTAACGCTATTGCAACTCTCCACTTTAAGCAAAGACAACTGAGTGCTGTTTAAGACACATGCACCCTCAAACCTTGACGTTCATAACGTGTTCGCACCATTTCTCCCTAAAAAAGACATAAATCTTCTGGATCGAGTGCAGAGACGAGCACGGAAACGGCTGATAGGGTTGAAAAAAATACTTACGAGGATAGACTACAGCATTTGGGATTATTCCCCATGGGACACAGGAGAATTAAAGGTAATATGATTATGGCGTACAGCGTATTGAGCTCGCCAAACCATTCAAACGTGAGCATCCTGCTGGTGCATCACTACTACTCCCCTTGCGGTAATCCTCGAAAAATCGCTCATCGGAAAGCGATTACCCAGGTTCATGTCCACTTTTTCTGATTAAGAGTAGTTGCAACTTGGAATGCTGTTCCAGCAGCGGTGATCCCAGCATCCTCAGTGGAGAGCTTTGAGAGGAAACTTGATAAACACGTACTCACATACGGATTATCATTCCCCTCATGGACCAGCTTTGCTTGATGCATGTCTTGAAACCTGCCTAATATCTCTGTTCCTTTCCCTTCCTTACACTTCAGTCTTCTCTCACAATTTTCACTACCAATTATTAAACTAGGTTATCTATTTAAATACTTAGTTCTAATATCCTCTTATTAGCATTAGAATTTTTTATCCTTATTATTCACCACCTTGCAACTAACTGATCTACGGTCTGGTAATGTGATAGCTGCTGGTATCCAGAAGCCCTACCGCCCTGAAATGAACGTTTTCATTCAAGTCACGGAACATACAGACACAAAGCCAACTGTGGATCGACTAGTATTAGACAGTCGAGTGGCTGGAAACCATTCACTGGACACTACCAAACGCCAGGAACCGTGTCGAAAGAACAAGAATCGAGCGCAAATAAATAAATGATTTGTACAAGCTCGTTAAAAAGATATTGGATATTCGATAGACTACAGCACTCTCTCCATTGGGTTCAAGTATAGCTATCTCTTTGTTCATAGCAGTTAACAGATCATTATTTAGCGGTTGCCCTTTCTGAGGGGAAAAGAGTTTTATGTATATTCATTGGTTGCATAAACTGTCATACATTGATGACCGCATAACTTCTGACGCCGAAATACACAACATTCTTAAGGGTCATAAGTCGTACTTAAGAGTTCTTTAGAGTCCATCATTATTAAAAATCCGACAACTTATATTGATACGAATAATCATGCCCAGGATAGTTGGACCTTTTACTAGACAGTGGTCGGCTGAATCAGGCTGCAACCGATTTTGTTGAAAAGGTATATAGAAGACATAAACACTAAATATTGACATTAAAACTGCCTAAAAGCTATCCAAAGATTCCGACAAACACTGGATAGCACATTATATGTACTCAGAACCACCTATCTTTAATTATTTGTCATTTTAGAAAATGATATTGATCATCAGGTTTCACACTTTTATTATTCACTGTGAGAGGATGGTTATACTTGTAGAGATCAACTTTTATTAAGAGAACGCGATTCGAGATCATAGTCAACTGCGACTAGAGCCATTATATACTCATACCATGAATATATATAAGGATTGAAAATGTAAGGCTTTTCTCAATGGTTAGCGCCTGTTTCAAAATGCTGGTGTGACAGATGACCTCTCGTAAGAGACCGTCCTACAAAAGGAAAGCAGCTGTTCTGGCTGGACTGGAAGCCCTTAATTCATTCAAGGTACCAAAAAAGCAGAATAATTTATGTAAGTGGAAATTCAACGGTTTGTATTGCTCCTAACCTGGGCTGTTTTGTTATTCGTGTTATCTCATTTTACTACAATCTCTTTATTACTGAGAGTTCTTTAATATTTTATGGTGTAACTAATGCCCAAAATATTTTCACTAGTATTGTCATAATCAGCTTGTTCCGTGTTTCGAATGAAGATACTTTTCTGAATAATTGGTACTCGAGTAGTGGTTCAGAATATAATACGACGGTACTTTTAGGAAATGAAACTTCTGTAGTGTGCAGTGATATTGTAGTCTCTTCACAAGTGAGCAGTCACATGTATTACCAAAGGACTACTATGCGTATTATATGCTTGTTGTTATGTCTTCAAAACATGCAATTAAGGCTTCATTTTCAACATAATATCCTCCATAGCACTTTGTATTTCATGATTTTTAACTAAAAAGTCATACTTAATTGCAAGACAGTCCTAACTAATCAAAATTTGTTGAAATACAAACTTGAAGATATTAGATATCCCAGAAAATTAAATATTGTTAGGCGTTAGGTTTAAAACTTTTAGCACGATAACTAACTGAACTTCTCGGTAGTCGTCTTTCGCCACATGTTGCGAAATTCAGCAGTACCTACCCAGCTACGGATGGCATATTTTGGCATGATAGGCTTATAGGTTTGTGCTTTAGACATAAGATCATGGATTTTCTCGTTGTATTTACCCCAAGGTGCGTTGCGATTGTACATATGTATGTCCATACCATTAATTAATATTATTGATTCAAACAGTTCACTTTCGTAATTAGCAATCCTTGATAAGTGTATAACAAGCAATGTGTCGAAATGTTTATGCGCTTCACTATTCTATGACATAATTTATTTATTGTACATAAAATGATGTAGTACAGCTTCTGTTGTTAACAGTGTCGAAGCAACTGTTTCCTGAGTCGAAAATATTATAAAAACGTATCAGCCACTTGAAGTAAAATATTGTACCTCTACTACCTGTACTATTATGGGATTCGAATTGAAAAGCGCGTCTGTGTACTAATGTGGTATGGCAACTGCTGCACGTACGTACTGAGTTTTACATTGTAACTGACTGATTTAAATGCATCAATAGGAAGAAGCACTGAAATTTGTATGCGCGACACAAACTAATACATTTTTGTGTTGATTAGATTATTTGCCTCGTTCCCAAACCGGAAAACTTGAATTTCTTAGGGTGCCACTCACCAAGATTCAGAAAGAGATGAGGAATTCCGGTTAGAATTCGACAAACTTTCTTGAAATCTACTCCTACACCACAAAACATTGCTCATCGAGTCATTCGGTGGTTAGGCATACATAACACATGTCCCAACCACTTTAACTGATCGAGTTTCACTACTTCATCAATCCGTCTGCCATCCCTACCTAGTATTCGTTTCTTAATAACAGCGTTGCTTACTCGGCTGTCCTAGGATATACGAGCAATTCTTTTAAGACATCTTTGATCGAATACTAGCAACCTACAAATGTCCTCAACTCTTACCGGTCAGGTTTCGCATCCATATAGTAGGACAGAGCGAAATGCTGCGCAGTACACTTGTCCTTTGGTTAGCAAACGGATATCTCGCCTACGCCGTAGTTGACGCAAGTTGGCAAAAGCCAGTCTAGCTTTCTGCCTCCGTGCTGAGATTTCGTCAGTCACCAGGCCATAAGCATTGACCAATAGAATTAGACTTACAAAAATAATTCTCTTAAGATATTGAATGAATATCCTAACAAGTTTTTTTCTTTCGTTTTTATTTTTCTAACAAAATTCTAAAGTACTTCTTGAAAATGTGGACTTGAATTCTGTCGATTTTACCGAAGAAATCTATTCACAAATCAATCAAAGTTTTCGTTTCCCTCAACTTTCATCCTATTTTGATGTGAAAGAAGCATGGTTTATTCATAATAAAACATTAGAAGATATATTTTCGCAAGCTCGTAAACGATTTCAAAAAACTCCTTTGAACAATAATATTTCCGGTGTAGAATCAAGTTTATGCACTGGTTTCTTAGTTGTTAATAATTGGAATGATGTTGAGAAAATTGCCAGTGATGGTCTCCTACCTGGCAATGATCCAGATACTTGGCTTGGTCAACAAAAATTAGGTAAGTGTGTGTGTGTGTGTTCAACTGATATGCTCCGCTATATATATATATATATATATATTCTTGCCTCATACGTATATATTTTTCGGATGGTCGTTTCTGTGTTTTATTTCAGTGACAAATTGTTGGTGTCAGTTGAGGAAATTTTTATTTATAGATTAAAGAATTTTTCAGTCAATCAGTCAGCAATGACGTAGAACTTGGTACATGTGTGTACCATATAAGTACAGAGATGCATTTAATCATTTCAAATCCCATAGAAGTTCAGGTAGTAGAAGTATTAGCGGTAATGTAGAAGATTAGGGTTTGAAGATGTTATTCAAGATGTATTATCCCCTGAATTAAACTTCAACAAAAGAAAGATAAATGTGATGAAGAATTTAGAGAATTAGGATTTAAGAAAAGACAAAAAATGAATGAAAATGATTTTGAGCCATGTCATTCAAGATCTCGCGGACCCCATCCAAGTAGTCTACTTCTACCAACATGACAGTCCAATTGTCAGTGAATTCATGGATCTGTGCCATGTCTTGGTTTGGCCGACCCCAACTTTCTTCTAGGTGACTACATCAAACAACATCTCTCGTCGAGGCAATTGGCGGTTGGGCATACGTAACACATGTTTCAACCACCTCGATCGATGAAGATTCACTACTTCATCTATCAATCTTCCATCCTTACCTAGTACTCGTTTTCTAACAATTTCATTGTTTACTCGATTGTCCCACGATACACGAGCAATGCTTCGGAAACACCGATGATCGAAGGCCATTAACGTTCGAATATCCTCTACTCTTATTGTCCGTGTTTCACAGCCATAAAGTAGGACTGAGCGAACTGCTGCACAGTAAACCGGTCCTTTGTTTGGTAGACGAATATCGTTTCGACGCCATAAGTGACGCAGAATGGCGAAGGCCAGTCGAGCCTTCTGTTTCCGTGCTGAGATTTCGTCACCTACTAGGCCATCAACACTGATGAATCTCCCAAGATAAGTGAAGCGATCAACAAACTCAACTAATTCACCCACTATACCACTATTTCAGGTGCCGACGCAAGCGAGTCCTAGTGCTTTAATCAAGGGAGTTAATTTTCTTCGGAGTTAACTCTTCCGAATGAAGCTAGTAAGATTTCTTTGACAGAGGCTATATACATATGGTTTTTTGAAGTCATTATGAATATGGTGATAGATGAACATCTGGAAGCTGGCGAATTTTTACCAACTGTTATCTTATCCGAGAGTAATCACCCACTCTATTGACATTTTTTGCCGTATATTTTTTGCTAGAACACGACATCAATACAATAGAATTAGTTAAATACAAGTAAAGGTATAAAAATTCTACAGCATCTTACTTAGGAAATAGACTATAGAATGAACAGTTGAAAAGAACTTACCTTGTCAACTACTTATATGCCTTAACATATGTTCCTCCTAATTAAAAAAGTTGTATAGATTTGCATTAAATCCCAAATAGTTTGTTTAGTGAAGTTGTTTAAAAATGTATGTATATATGTTGACAGTTATTGGGTGTTTCTTTTTTTAGCTTGTGAAAGAAACTCATTAAAATATTCTGTATTAAGAATTCCTATTTTATACTAAACATTTAATATTGAACAAATCCATTATTGTTCAATTAGATTTATGAAGATTAGTGTTTGTCACAAATTGAAATCATCAATCGTTAGGATATTCACCAAATATCCTAAGAATACTATTTTTAGAACTGCAATCCTATTGGTCGAATTCTATTGCCCGAAATTTTGATCGTTCTTACCGTCAGGGTCAAATACTTCAATGTTATCTCTTATTGGTCATCTGGACGGTCAATGTCATTCAAATGTTCTTTTCTATTGGTCGTCCTAAATTGTCAATGTCACAGACGTTGATGCTTTTTCTCATTCGACCTTAGTGTATAAATACGCGCTATCTGGAGGACTAAATAATTCCGTTTCCCCTGCCTACTTCTTCTGTTTACGACCCAATAAACATCTTCCTGCCACGGTGTTACGTTCTGATTTCTAGGAGATTTGGGAAAGCCTTTGGGTCGTTTTGTGATATTTGAATTGGACGCCGTTAGGACTGAAGATTTACGTAGCCGCGTTTACAACATCAATCAATCTTTGTTAGACCATCATTAGGAACCTTGAAGCAGTGGATGACGGCCGTTTCATCCTGGTATGGGAATACTCATCAGTGGCAGTGCGCAATGCACAACTTCTGCACCTCTCAGGATTCGAACCTAGGACCGTCGGTCTTGTATGAGTGATATATTTCCTTACCTTGAACTGTATCACTGTATTTAGGTGTATGTATGGTAGAATGTTTGATATAAGATTTCTACGAATTCAGGAAAAATTCAGAATGACTAAACCAAATTGATTTACAAGTATCTTTACTTGTGTCTCATTCAAATGTCATAAATTTCCTACCGACTTGTTTTACTTACATGAATTTAAACTCTTCAGGTCTCACAGTAAATCAATGTGCCGATATAACAATTGCTCGTGAACAAAGTCGTTTATCAAGTAAAAATATTGGTAATCAATTCTTGTATTTAATTATGGTTCGTTGGATCAAATCACGAGCGTATATTGTATCACCTGAAGCGGAGACTAGTAAAGAACGTTTAGAACCTCAGCCTGGCTATGCATGTCATGTTTCCACTTGGTCTCGTATGGATTTATTAGATCCAAGTAAATTAACGTTAGAACAAGCATTTCATTTATCTCAAGTAAGTTTTATTATTTTTTGAAACAAAGTTTGATAGATAGTCAATGCAATTTCATTTGATACGTTTAGTATTCTTTTGCATAGTACTAGTAATCTGATAAGCTCAATCGATATATAAATAGCACTCATAAATATCAAGTATGGATTCACCTGTGATCTCAAGCAAATCCGATTGCTGTCGTAAGACAACAATGCAACTTAAAAATAACACCGGTTCGTAGTAGTAAGGTCTGTCCATGGGGAAATACGTTTCAATCAAAATAAGCATAGCCAGTGTATTGATAATTAATTCAACCGATAAGATTGTTATGATTATGTAAGTCACTATGTCACTTGATATTGTAGTGAACGAGAACACAGGTGGGGCAACCGAATTGTATTTAACGAAAATCACAGAGTTATTCAGTAAAATTGGAAAACCATATCGTAAATCATTAATTTGCAAAATATCAGTCCATCATATCGAACTGGACTGTTCCTGTTGCAAAACATCAGTCTATTGTCACTATTCATGCATTTCATACAAATTCCATTGTGTTCTAACTCTTCATTTCTTGATCTTCCCCCATCTTCTTCTGCCAGACATTACGTTGACACTCACGTCATATACTACTTATAAGTAGCTCACACCACAATATGCTTGAACTATGACGAGTTCACTTTAGTTGGTAAACGAGAGCGAGGATCGATTATCCGGCGACATGACAGGCTACTCTTATCTGAGTGTCCCAAACCTCCAAATAGAACATGTATTCTACAAGCATCCAGAAAGTATGAGGTCTGAGTCCAGAAGAGGCTAATGATCTGGGTCATAAAACGTTACACATATAATGCATATTTATACAGTTAGTCAGTCGGTCAGTCAGTCAGTTGCAACGTAGAACTTCGTACGTATGTACATAAGTTCATGTTGCCATACCACATGAGGAGCACAGAGACGCAAATGTCAAATCAAATCCCATAGTGATAAAGATAGTAGAGGTATTAATGGTAATGAAGAAGACTGGAGTTTGAAGATATTATTCAAAAAGTATAATTCGGTGAGATAAGGTTAGAGAGACAAAGGTAGAGGTGCTGACGAATCCAGAAGATTAGGATTTGAGAGAGCACAATGAATGGATGCACTTGCGCCATTGCAAACGATTCTGAGCCATGTCGTTCAAGATCTCTAACCATTGGTGACTTTCATCTCGCGGACCCCAACCAGATAGCCTACATCTACCAACATGACTCAGTCCACTTGTCAGTGACTTCATGGATTTGTGCCATGTTTTGGTCTGGCCGCCTCTAACTTTCTTCCAACCTACTCCTACACCACAAAACATAGCTCGTCGAGGCAGTTAGTGGTTAGGCATTCGTAACACATGTCCCAACCACCTCAACTGATGAAGTTTCACCACTTCATCGATTGATCTGCCATCCTTACCTAGTACTCGTTTCCTAACGACAACATTGCTTATACGGTTGTCCCACGATATACGAGCAATTTATACAGTTAGGTCAAATAGGAAACAACATTTGAATTATGTGACTACCAACCGTAATCAACTAATAGGAATTGACCAATAGAATTAGAACGTACAAAAATAATTCTCTTAGCATATTTGCTGAATATCCTAACAGAGAGATACAAGCAAGGAAAAAATATAAATGAATGAACCCTGATTTCTAATAAGTAATATATAGCCAATAAAACATGAATTCCACTGAGCTTGTTGTTCAGGTGTGAGCGCTGAAACTTTCAATGAGTTGTTGGTATTGTATTATAAAAGTGTGAGAGTAAATATTGCTTCAACTGTCGCCATTTCGTTTTCATAACGAAAACATAAAGGAATCAGCGTTGTAAAACTTTGAAACCATAATGATATTATCTACTCAATGCCGGTTATAATATCTTTTTTTTTCCGAAAGAATTAGTTATGGGAGAGTTTCCTCTTCCTTTTTTGCCACTTAACAGAAGGTGACTGATCGATCGACCAATCAGTATTGAGTGCTGTTAGAGATGTGTATGGGCAGTTGTCGCATATATCGACTGGCAGCTCAGTAGAAAGTTGCTTACTTTCAATGGTCTTGAAAGCGAGACTGGATAATGGTCCTAACAACCTGTGATCGTGACCTTAAAGCGCAATGAACAATTAATTGACACCGAATACATGACAGTCTTGTGAGACATTCTTGATTTGTTAGCTCTATACTTCAAAAGACGGAAATCCGTGGGATAAACTGAAATGACCAATCTTTCTAAACCATTTCTGTTTTTATGAGAAGGCAGATTTACTGAAAATGTTGACTGTCTGTCGGAAACATTCCGTCCTCGGATGATCATAAGTTGCTGGCTTTAGTTTTGTTCTTCCGTAACCAATCTTTTTATCATGATAGGTAAGAGCTTGAGCAACGAGTGATCCTGTCAAGGTAGCTCAATCGGATCATCATGGTGGACAATCTCAACCATTATGTCACAAGGTCAGTCAGTCAGTTACAACATGGAACTGCGTACATGAGTACATAAGTTCAGGTTTCTGTACCGCATCAGCACAGAAACGCATTTTTCAGTTCAAATCCCATGGTGTAAGATGGTAGAAGTATTAGCTGTAATGGAGAAGATTAGGGTTCGAGGACATCATTCGAGAAGTATAGAACAGTCAGATAAATTTAGGAAGAGAAAGATAGAGATGATGAGGAATTCAGAAGGTTAGAATTTCAGAGAGCACAACTAATGAATGCAGCTGCAATATCACAAGGAGTAGTAACCACCGTGTGGCACTCCAAGCCGGTGCATGTATATTATGTATTTGGTTTTGTGTCATTTGTGATTGATTAACAACCAGTCAGACAGACAGATACAGAGCAGAACTTCGAACATAAGTACATCAGTTCAGGTTGCCATACCACATCAGGACAGAGACGTAACTGTCAGTTCAAATCCAAGAGTGGTAGCGATAGTAGAATTATAAGCAGCAATCGAGAAGATTAGGGAGCGAAGATATGATTCGAAAAGTATAATTCAGTTAGATAAATTTAGAAGGAGAAAGATAGAGATTATAAAGAATCCAGAGGGATAGAATTAAAAAGCACACAAAGAGTGGATGCACCTGCGCCATTGCAGACGATTCTGAGAACTCACCATTGGTGACTTTCGTCTCGCGGACCCCAACCAGATAGCCTACATCTACCAACATGACTCAGTCCACTTGTCAGTGACTTCATGGATTTCTGCCATGTTTTGGTTTGGTCGCCCCTAACTTTCTCCCAACCTACTCCTGCACCACAAAACATCACTCATCGCGGCAGTCGGTGGTTAGGCATACGTAACACATGTCCCAACCACCTCAACTGATGAAGTTTCAATACTTCATCTATTGATTTGCCATCCTTACCCACAACTCGTTTCCTAACGATAGCATTACTTACTCGGCTGTCACAGGATACACGAGCAATGCTTCTTAAGCATCTATGATCGAAGACTAGTAACCTACGGAAGTCCTCTACTCTTAACGGCCATGTTTCGCATTCTTAACAACCAGTCAATCAAACGCGTTTCATCATTACAGTTACACATTGTTCAAACTAATCTCTATTTCAGGTGTATTTATATGAATTTGATGAAGATTTAGAATTACGCACAAAACTAGAACATGTCATTCCATATGCTGTGTTAAAATGTCGTTGGACATTGACTTCCAATAATGTCAATGCAAAACTGGTCTCATCCACCTCTGTAGCTAGTGGTTCAATTTTGATTATTTCACCATCATCATCCGCACCATCATCATCATCGTCATCATCATCAGATATTTCATCTCTTTTATCGCCTGTATCACGTACAGCACTTTTGCCAACTCCACAAATTCCTCGTATAAATAAGAAATCATCTACACGAGTTCATTCATCACATCATCATAAATCGGTTGCATTGAATTATGATGGTAAATCTAAATCTGTAAGTTATTGAATGGTATTTGTTATTCATTTTGTTGCTAATAGTTTTTATATACTATTATTAGTAATACAATTCTTTTCCAATCTCAGTAGTCAGTCAGTTACAATGTAGAACTTTGTACGTACGTACGTATGTACGTACGTCAGTTCAAGTTGCCATACCATACATTAGCACAGAGAGATGCAATTTTCATTTCAAACCCAATAGTAGTAAAGGTAGTAGAAGTATGAACAGTAATCGGAGAGATTATAGTTCGACGATATTATTTGAGAAGTAGAATCTAATGAAATAAAGGTGATGAGGAATTCAAAAGGTTAGGATTTAACAGAACACAAAGAATGGATGTACCTGCGCCATTGTAAACGGTTTTGAGTCATGTCATTCAAGATCTCTAACGATCGATTACCATTATCTTGCGGGCCCCAAGTAGGTAGTCGACACTTACGAACATGACTCAGTTCATTTGTCAGTGACTTCATGGATTTGGTTTGGCCGCCCCTAGCTGTCTTCCAACCTATTACTACACCACGAAACATAGTTGATGAGGCAATCGGTGATTGCACATTCGTAACACATGTCCTAAGCACCCCAAATGACGAAGCTTCAATACTCAATCTGTTATTTGCCATACTTACCTAGAACACGTTTCCTAAAAACTGCATTGCTTATTCGGTTGTCCATCAATGTTAGTAGACAAAGAAAAAAGTGATGTCATCGTTATCATTTCATTTCAAATCAATAGATTGAGAAATATCAACAATTCAAAGGAAATTGTTACACTGAAAATAGATTTTATTTTATTCTGACCAATTCAATCTTGTGTGCTGTTACGAGTATGAGGGCAGATGTTACTTGCCCGCTGCCCACACTGTGAAAGTGTGTTTCTATATGGACCGGAAAAAGAAGTTGGATTAGTGTCGGTCCTAGAGACCTGAAAGGGTGACCTCAGAGCACAAGGGAAAGCTGCTCTAGACCTGTCACACGCGGTGTTTTTATGAGAAGTCTTTGAAGTGTTAGCTCCACTCTTCAAGTGGCTTTGCCTCTGGAGACGAAAATCCGTGAGGCAAGGTGAGGGGTGACATTTTTAGGGTAGACCTTTTCTAACCCCTTCCTTCCTTGTGAGAAGGCAGCATCGCTGCAGATGCTAATTGTCCGAGTTAGATACACTTTACTGCTGTCACACTCCTCTCATTATTACGACTTTGCCCCCATACTTTGAGTAGCTGCTTTTAGTCTCACCATTCTCTAATCGACCTGTCTGGTATTGCAGAAACTAAATGAACATATCTTCCAGCGGATATAACTCGGTTGGGTCGTCATGATAGGTAAGACCGACCACCATATCAAGGTAGCATCTACGGTCGGGCTGAAAATAGATTATTCTATTCGGAGAGAATGAATACGATTGAGATGACACAACATTGAAAATTCGAACTGAAATCAAGAATACTTGCATTAGTATATTATTTCGGCTATTTTCACGACTGAGCGTTGTTAATAGGTGTAGACTATCTGGTTCAGGTACATCTAATCACGAACTGATCTTAGCTGAACCACCATTGGAAAACTTGGAAACACTGAATAGCCGTCTAGTCGTGGTATGGGACTCATCAGGAGTGTGCATCCACGCACGACGCCTGAATGCGCGAATCGAACCCAAGACACTTGGTCTTGCATGCCAACGCTTAACTTTTAGACCACTGAATTGGTGGCATCCAATAGTGTTAATGTTTAATTTCAGTTACACCATGATATTGTGCAACTTTTATTCATAACCTGTGTCGGATAACTGTCTGACGCTTGATACAGATTGAAATCTACTGGTCAGCGCTTCTCACTCCATCTGGAACTCATTTTTTCGGAGAATTATTCAATTGATCCGACTAAATCACATTGTGTTAGTATCATACATATCTATTGTCTTTAATAATAAAACAGTATCTCTGAATGCCCTAGTACTGCTGAGAGTAGAGAGTAGAGAGAGAGAGTCCGCTTTTCCTCTTCAAATATCTTCACGTGCTGACGCGTACACAGATATTCTGTAGGAAGTTCTACTCATTGCCTTTTTATGTAAGAGGTATAGTTTTACAAAATGGAGAGAGGACGAAAACCACCCATGTCTGGGTTGATGGTATAAAGGATCATTCTAGAGGAGTTGGTGTTGCACGTAGGCTCCAGTATCCTAAGCGGACAAATAACATCCGGACCTATGCGTTGATCACACTGACTATTACCATATGGGACTACTTCTCCTACCATGGCTTTACTGTCTTAAGGATTAAATGTTTGGGTGATAGTTTTTGTTTTGTAAAAATGGAAGTATGAACTTTACAATCATTTTTATTGATTTTTTTTCTTACATTTTTTTAGAAAACTACTACTCATTCTCATCTGTCAGAATCGAAAAATCGTTATAGGTATACAACACCATCACTTTTGCCTAGTCCTAAATCACTCAACATAAATAATCATGATAGTAATAATAATAGTGCATTACAAAACTCTCCTCTTCACACTGTTAGTACTACTACTACTACTACTACTACTAATTCAAATACTTCAACTACTTTACCTTCAAATGATGATTATACTGATCAATTATTATCCTCTCCACAATTCAGCGTTGTACACACTACGGATACTTACAATGTATACATTGCGCATGCAAGAAAATTACAAGCCAGTTGTAATTTATTTCAATTTTCAGAATGTATAAATCCAGTGACTAGTAGTGGTAGTGGTAGCAGTACTTGTAACAACAATGAACTAATCATCAAAAGTGAGAATTATTATAATAATCATAATAATAATGATATAGCTGTTCATGAATTATCTCCCATTGTTATTGGAGTTTCATTACTTGCATGGGGTTATCCAAAACCGGAATATTCATTACCAGTGGAGTTGTCAACATTTCATACAACTAAACTGACTGTATTCGATGGGATGTAAGTAGTGTACTATTATTATTATTATTATTGTTATTATTATTATTATTATTATTATTATTATGGATATTTTCAAGTCTAGTTGTTTTTAACCTCATGTTCACAAAGTTTTTGTTATTCGATCATCGATTGGTAGGCAGGTCGATTGGAGAACGATGAGACTAAAAGCAGCTACCCAAGATCTGAGGGCGAAGTCGTACTGCTGACTGACTGAAGAGGGGTGTGACAGCAATAAGGTGTTTCCCTCAGACAACCAGCAGCATCTGCAGCGATGCTGCCTTCTCACAAGGAAGGAAGGGTTAGAAAAGGTTGACCCTGAAAATGTCACACCTCACTCTACCTCACGGATTTCCGTCTCCTTGGGTAAGGGTGCCCACTAAGGGCCTTTAAGAACGGAGCTAATCCTCTAAATACCTTTCATAAAAAGTCCGTGCGTGACCGGCCTCAAGCAGTTGTCCCTTGGGCTCTGCGGTCACGCACCAACACTAATCCATCTTCCTTTTCAGGTCCCTCAAGAAACAACCTTCCACGGTGTGGGCAGCCGGGAAGTGACAACCGCCCTCATACCCGTAACAGCACACGAGACCAAATTGGTCAAAATCCAATCAAATCTGACTGGTAGTTGAGAATTGAGTTTATTGATAGAAGTTATTGTAATTTTAATGTCTAACATGTCTACAGTAATAGCCTTACTAAACTTAGCTTAGCCTGTTACCCACAGGTGAAGGATAGACCGCCAACTAGCATTCTCTAACCTACTTTGTCCTGGGCTTACCTTTCTAGTTCGATCCGATTGTTGGGCATTCTTCGCATGTCAATCTCCGTTTCTCGGCGTAATGTGTTTTTTTTGGCCGTGAGGATTCCAAGTAAAAAGGCTTGCTTTATTGGGTTCTCTCGGCACTTCCAGCACTTCGCGATCTGGTTTGTTCTCTTCCACAGTAGTTCATTGCGGATAATGTCTGGCCAACGGATACGAAGTATTTTGCGTAGACAAGTGTCAATCAACACCTGTATCTTATGGATGGGTGGCTTTCGTGGTTCTCCAACTTTCCGCTCCACACAGTAGAATTGTCTTGACATTTGTATTGAAAATTGTGACTTTGGTGTTGGTCGAAAGGGGTTTAGAGTTGCAGATGTTCTTCGATTGTAGAAATACTGCCGTGGCTTTGCCAATCCATGCCTTCACATGTGCATCAGACCCACCGTGCTCATCAATGATGCTGCTCAGATATGTAGAGATTTATGCATCACCGAAAGTTGCTCCGTGAAATGTGATTTGGTTGGTGCACGTCGTATGGTATGGGAGTATCTGGCTTTTATCCTTTTTGCATGTGGAAACCTATCGCTTCCCGGCCCATTGAGCCATGTCAATCAGTCAGTCAGATGCAACGTAGAACTTCGTACGTAAGTACATCAGTTCATGTCTCCATACCACATCAACACAGAGATGAAATTGTCAATTCAAATCCAATAGTAGATGAGGTAATGAATGTATTAGTAGTAATCGGAGAGGTTAGGATTAGAAGATATCATTCAACAAGTATGATTCAGTGAGATAGGTTTAGAAAGTCAAAACTAGAGGGGTGTTGAAGAATCCAGAAGATTAGGATTTGAGAGAACACAAAGAATAAATGCACCGGCGCCATTGCGAACGATTTTGAGCCATGTCGTTCAAGGTCTCTAATCATCGATTATTATCATCTCGCGGACCTTAACCAGGTAGTCGACAATTACCGACATGGCTCAGTCCACTAGTCAATGACTTCATGGATTTGTGCCATGTTTTGGTCTGGCTATCCCTAACTTTCTTCCAACCTATTCCCACACTACGAAGCAAAGCTCTTCGAGGCAGTCGGTGGTTAGGCATGAACAGGTAAGAGATTGTATTCCAAATAGCAAGGTCAAATGGAAGTAAGAAGCCGAAGCAAAGACTAAATAGGAATAAAGTTAGTCGCTTTATAGTTTTTTACATGAGAGAGGCTTCTGGAATACTATCCAAGTATCAACTAGGCGCTGATTGGATAAGAAGAATTAGCCAATCAGAGTGCAGCTAACTCAATCATGCTTTAATCCCATCTGTGTCGCGCTAACATCTACATACATTGAATATTTAATAGGTGATTTACGTTTTTAAATTTTAACAATATTTTCATGTACTCTATTCGACTTGATTTTTTTAATTTTATTTAGACTTCAACCATGTTTACATATACAACGATTAGTTTCACATACATCATTACACTATGAACTTGCTGGTTTAAAACCATGGACAGCGAAATCATTCGATTTGAATGGACCACCAGTTTTAGTTTCAGTTCCATGTGATCAAGAATGGTGTCTGCCTCGTGTAAATCCTATTAAAGCATCATCATTACAATCGGATCCAAGTCCATTCGGTGGTTATCGAGGTAATTATTTCCGTCTAACATTACACAACGAATCTGGTGGACGTCGAACTGATATGGCTCAATTATGTCAAGCTTTACAGAATAATTCACTGGTGAATAAATCGATATTTTTAATTAATTTTTGTTGTAAATGAGTTTTTCTCTTAAACATCTAAATTAGACAAACAATGAAAACTTGTAAAACAGTAGATGATCATTTTGTGTTACTATGGAAACGAAGATATTCGTAGGTTACTGGTTTTCGATCATAGGTGTCTTCGAAGCATTGCTCGTATATCCTGGGACACCTGAGTGAGCAACGCTGTTATTAGGAATCGGGTGCTAGGTAAGAATGGAAGATCAATAGATGAAGTATTGAAACTTCATCAGTTGAGATGGTTGGGACATGTGTTGCGTATGCCTAACCACCGATTGTCTCGGCGAGCTATGTTTCGTAGTGTAGAAATAGGTTGGTAGAAAGTTAGGGCGGCCAGATCAAAACATGGCACAAATCCATGAAGTCATTGACGAATGGACTTAGCCATGTCGGTAATTTTCGACTATCTGCTTGGGGTCCGCGAGATGATAATAGTAATCGAAGCTTAGGGACCTCAAAATCGTTCGCAATGGCGCCGGTGCATTTATTCTTTGTGCTCTCTCAAATCCTAATCTTCTGGGTTCTTCAACCCCTCTAGTTTTGACTTTCTAAACTTTTCTCACTGAATCATACTTCTTGAATAATATCTTCTAATCCTTACCTCTGCGATTAATTCTAGTACCTTTACTACCTCTTCTACTATTGGATTTGAATTGACAATTACATCTCTGTGTTGATGTGGTATGGCAACATGAACTGATGTACTTACGTACGAAGTTCTAAGTTGCATCTAACTGACTGACTGAGGTGCATTTTCGCAACCCTGAAAAATCGGAAGTCGAACCAAGAACCTTGTGCTACATGCACAAGGTCATTGGCCTAAGATTCACTGGTGTACAAGTTTAATTTGTTTTATCTAATCTGATGTTTCATTTTGTTATGCTTGTCAATTGATAGATATGCTTGAATGCTATTACGAGTTCACCTTAGTCGGTAAATGAGAGCAATGTCAAATGATCTAGTGACACGATAGGCTACTTTAATCCGATCGTTCCAAGGCCCCCACTAAGTAGATGAAGAAGTCTTGAAAAGACGTAGAAGTGTATTCTACAAACACCAACAAAGTTAGAGGTTTTCAAGCACACAAAATTGAATTTATTTATAGATGATAGAAACATCCTTAGGAGAGCCACAAATATAGCATACTAAAATAAAACATCAACCAATAAGAGTCAAGGATTTTCCGGATGGCTGTTTCTTCCTAGTTTTATCAGCAGTTTGCGTCTACAACTTTCACACGCGTGAGTTGAACCCAAGATATTCGGTCTCACACACAAACCGGCATCCAATAGTGTGAACTTCAGTCAGTTCACACTGATGATGTCGCTGTTGAGAACTTGAACGTCTATCATGATTACAGATGAAGATATTGTAATTGAATTTGTGATCCGATTAAATGTTCAAGATGGAGATGAACTATAATCTAGACTATTGTAGAATGCTTACAGAGAAGCAGATTGATAGAAGAAAGATAGATGTTTATGAGAGGAGGAAAAAAGGAGGAAAGGAATTTACAAAGGATTAAAATCATGTGAAAATAAAGCCGTTGTACCGGTTTCTTTTGTATACATCATTTTGGTTTTTCCAAATGTATATCATAGCTAATGCTTCGACAATGCTAAAAAGATGAAAGCTAACTGGTAAGATTGCGCAGAATCCTTAGATTGATCAGAGTTAGTCATTAATATCGTTCAATGCCGGCTCAATGGTCTAGAGGTTAAGCATTCGCGCTTAGCACCGAAAGCCCTGGGTTCGAATCCTGCGGGTTGTAGAGGTTGTGGACACTCACTGTCGATGAGTCGCATACCAGGACGAGACGACTGTCATCCAGCGCTTCCAGGTTACCAATAGTGATTTAACAATGATGTACTCATGAGTTAAATTTTTACAGAACAATATGCGAAGACGTCATTGATCTGATGAGAAGTGTTGTGTTGTATTTGCGCGCTGTAATTTGCAAACAATCGCCTCACACACATTCACACTTGTCAAGGTCAATTATGAATAAAAGTTCAATTAGATATAAGGTGATAATTGTAATAATAAAGGAGGGGGAAAATTAGCGTAGTAAATTGTCATATTACCATAGGCCATAAAATAGTTTAAAGCCTGTCAAGGTAAATTAAACGTTATAACAAACTGTTTCTGTGCACATAAAGGGGGGGGGGGTTAATTTACGAATAGTTAAGGCTTCTATAAACCTTACAAATCGTCTTTGAACATTTCTATACAATGTTTTGAATGCTGTCTTAATGTCAATCTTATGCTCGCCATCTCAATTATGTGTTTTGTGATCGATGTACATGGGTTTCTATTTCTCACATTTATTGGATCATCTGAAGTAAACAAAAGCCACTTAGGAGCATATCCCATCATTCTTAATTGCAAAGTGCGATCAGACCTCTCTATGTATGTGTCTTCACACAAACATGTCAATTGATAAATGCAATGGGATGTGATGTAATCATTAGAGCAACGTTTAGGTATATGCGAAATCATGGTCTTGGTCTTTTCAATGATAATCAGTTTAGCAGCGTTGTATGTTTTCTCTATGGCTGCTTTTAATCGCTTTGTTGAGATTAGACCATTTACTTCACCTCTAAATGTTAAAATGATATAAACCTTTTTCTTCTCAGCAGAATGAAAAACTTGTTTTTGTCTTAACTGATCCCTACACCTATTGATGAACTTTAACGGATAGCCATTTGAAATCAATGCTTCAGTTAAGAATTTTGCATTGTCGTCAAATGTATCCGTGGTTCAAATCCTTTGAGCCCTATTGAAGAGACATTTTACCAAACTTTGCTTATGTTTCAGTGGACAAAAACTGCTGAACTGTAGATACTGTTCAATCCATGTTGGTTTTCAATAAACAGAACTCTTTATAGTGCCATTATCTCTTCGGCTCAACAGTATGTATAAAAAAGGGCAATCGATTATTATTATCTTCTGGTTCATGAGTTAGTACAATGTCTTTCTGAAGATTATTGAAGTTGTCCATTAACTGAGAGACGTTGACTTTTTTTTATCACATATAATTAAAATATCATTCATATATCTATCTCCTATACACAGAGAGTAAGCTTATTGATGTACTCATCCCACAAATTTTCAGCATATGCCATATAAAAACATCAGCTAAAAGAGGGGTCCCAAAGGGAACTACCCATAGCAATGCTATCAACTTGCTGGAAATGTTCATTATGTTCCATCATCCTTCATTTCAAAGTTCGATTACTCCTCTCTATGTATGCTTGTCCATACAACCATGCCTTCACCAAGTGTATATATATATATATATATGTCAGTCAGTCAGATGCAACGTAGAACATTGTACGTAACTACATCAGTTCATGTTGCCATACCTTATTAGCACAGAGATGTAATTGTCAATTCAAATACAATAGTAGAAGAGGTAGTAAAGGTATTAGAAGTAATCGGAGAGGTTAGAATTAGAAGATATTATTCAAGAAGTATGATTCAGTGAGAAAAGTTTAGAAAGTCAAAACTAGAAGGGTGTTGAAGAATCCAGAAGATTAGGATTTGAGAGAACACAAAGTTTTGAGCCATGTCATTCAAGGTATCTATCTAACCATCGATTATTATCATCCCGCGGATCTCAACAAGGTAGCCTACATCTACCAACATGACTCAGTCCACTTGTCAATGACTTCATGGATTTGTGCCATGTTTTTTGGTTTGACCGCCCCTAACTTTCTTCCAACCTATTCCCACACTAAAAAAAAACATAGCTCGTCGAGGCAGTCGGTGGTGTGTGTGTGTGTATGTCTGTGACTACATTGTTCGAAACATATACAATGCGCAAAATACATTTCACAACATTTCTCATCAGATCAATTGAGTAGTCTTCTCGCACTGTTTTTTCTGGTTTTCATTTCTTGTTTCAAAAAAAATCATTTTTAATCGTTTCTTTTTTTCATTCTACTCTATACATTGTAACAAAATTACCATTGATATCTAGTCTAATCATTTAAAAATGAAGGCAAAGTATGAGATAACCTACACACAACATGATTGATATCTGTCAATTGTATAACAAGTTGTTTTTTCTGCATTCATTTCATTTCATTTGTAGGCAGGTGTTATCCCTATGCCTTGCGATGAATCAAGTATTATGTTTCTATTTCCTGAATGTCAATTCTCTAAATCAATAGGTAGGTAATCTCTCTCTATATATATATAATTGAATATCAATGTACACATTGTCTTATTCTGGTGTTTTTATTCTTTTTCTATACAAATTAATCGATAAATAATAATAATATTACACAATAAACTTGATGAAATGACATTGAAATTAGACAATTATGAAAAAGGTTACAATCAATATCTGTTTGTCTATTTGTTTGGTTTCCACGTTTTTCTCTGGTTCCCTGACATACTCATAAGTCTACCTTGATTGTTTACAACAAACCCACCACTGAACTGATGTACATACATGACGTACATACAATAGTTGTCTTCTTGGAACTGAAGGCGGCATTGGAGACTCTGTGGATTGTGAGGTTCCGTGGCAGTGTGTGTCATTGAAAAGTGTACCAAAGAAGTATATTAAGCTTATACAAGCTCTCTGAACTCGAAAACCACTGGTCGAGTGACAGCTTATGGTGAACTGTCGTCGGAATTCTTTATTTCAAGTGGCGGGCGTCAGGGATGTTCACTTTCTCCATTCTTGTTTAATTTTATCATAGACATGCTCCTAGATATAAGCTTATCCTCGTCTGGATTTTCAGGAGTAGACCTTTTACCGGGAGGCTCGCTTATTGACTTGGAATATGCCGATGATATAGGTCTATTTGGTGAAGACGCTGACAAAATGCAGAATCTTCTGACCACTCTAAGCAACAATGAAAGCATTTTCGGGATGCGGTTTTCCCCCTCGAAATGCAAAATGTTGTTTCAAGATTGGGTTGCATCGGCACCTGAACGAGTGATAGAGAGTGATGTAGTCGAAGGTGTAGACCGCTTCACTTATCTTGGGAGTCTCATCAGTTCTGATGGCCTTGTGACTGAAGAAATCTCAGCTCAGATACAGGAGGCTCGATTGGCTTTTGCCAACCTGCGTCAATTATGGCGTAGGCAAGATATCCGTTCGCTGACTAAAGGACGAGTGTACTGTGCAACAGTTCGCTCTGTCCTATTATACGGATGCGAAACATGGCCGTTAAGAGTTGAGGACATTCGTAGGTTACTAGTATTCGATCATAGATGTTTAAGAATCATTGCTCGTATACCATGGGACAACCGAGTAAGCAATGCTGTCGTTAGGAAACGGGTGCTAGGTAAGGATTGCAAATCAATAGATGAAGTGGTGAAACTTCATCAGTTGAGATGGTTGGGACATGTGTTACGAATGCCTAACCACCGACTGCCTCGACGAGTGATGTTTTGTGGTGTAGGAGTAGGTTGTAAGAAAGTTAGGGTCGGTCAGTCCAAAACATCGCATGAATCCGTGAAGTCACTGACAGTTAGACTGAGTCATGTTAGTAGATGTAGGCTATCTGGTTGAGGTCCGTGGTATGAAATTCACCGACGGCTAGAGACCTTGAACGACATGGCTCAGAATCGTTTGCAATGGCGCAGGTGCATCCACTGTGTTCTATGAAGTTCTAACCTTCTGAATTCCCCATCATCTCTATCTTTCTCCTTCTAAATTTATCTCACTGAATTGTACTTTTCGAATTATATCTTCGCTCCCTATTCTTCTCCATTACTGCTAATACTTCTACTCTTGGATTTGAACTGACAGTTACGTCTGTGTGCTGATGTGGTATCGCAACCTGAACTGATGTGCTTACGTACGAATTTCTGTGTTGTTGCTAACTGACAGATTATTTGATTGAATCTAAGAACTCATCAACAGGCCGCATCCTAGGTTCGAATGGTGCGACTGGCAGAAGTTGTGCATATGCACTACCATTGATGAGTTAATCCAACTACCAGTGCGAAACACCCTTCATTCAGTAGCGTCAGGTTTCTTTTACTGTTGATGGTCTAACATTGATTCGTTCAATAAGTAACTATTATGATATGTAAAATAGTCTGACTAAGATTATTAAACTATACTAAATTACGAGTTCACCTTGGTCAGTAAACGAGAGCGAGGATCGATGATCCAGTGATACGACAATATTCCGAGTTTCCCGAACCTCCATTGAGTAACAGAAGAATACTTAATATGAAGTAGAACATGTATTCTACAATCATTCAGAAAGTACGCAGTCTGAGTCCGGAAGAGAGAACAAGGATTCTGGACTAAGGATCCATGTCATAAAACATTACAGATAATGCATATTTATACAGTTAGGTCGAATCAGAAACAACATTAAAGTCTGTGAGATTGACCAATGGAGAAACAACATTTAAAGTATATGACATTGGATAGTTCAGATAACCAATAGGAATTGACCAATAGAATTAGACTTACAAAAATATTTGATGAATATCTATCCGTCCAGTGCTTTCAGGTTTCTAATGGTGGTCTAGCATTGATCGATTCATAGTTTCAAAAATGTGTAACCTAACAATCTTCACAACCCCGTAATGCAAATTACCTGTGCTCACTAGTGACTAGCTTCGTGAGGAATCTTCGCCGAGTTCTAGTGGGAAGACGTGACCAGTGAAGTTCAACCTGTTCGGGTGTAGGCAGTGTCTACCGAAGACTGCGTATGAGGTTGCGCAACTCCGTGAATTGAACGAAGTTAGTCATTAACGTAGTTAGATACCGGCTCAGTGGTCTATCGGTTAGGGCGTTCGCGCACAATACCGGGGGTCCTAGGTTCGAATCCTGCGGGGTGCAGGAGTCGTGAATGCGCACTGCTGAGGAGTCCCATACCAGGACGGAACGGCCGTCTTGCAGTGCTTCCAGGTTTCTAATGGTGCTCTAGCATTGATCGATTCATGGTTTCAAAAATGTGTAACTTAACAATCTTCACAACCCCGTAATGAATATCTATCTCTTAACACTTTTCTCTAATTTTTTGATTTATTTTCAAGGTATACCAATTGTTGATAATTTGGATAGAAATTTCTTACATGCTATATTACTTACACCGCATAGTTTACGCCATTATCCATATGATAAAATGTGTCATTGTCGGTCGTATCAATCAATGAATCATGATGTGAATGGTAATGGCAATTATAATAATAATACTATTTCAAATGTGACATCATTTGCCATCCCCAGTAATGTAACAACAATTGGGGCATCTATGGATAATTTATTTGGTCAACGAAAATCCAGTAAGTCTTCTTTTTTTCTCTCTGTCTTATTATTATTATGATTATTGTAATAAGTTTTTTGTTAATAATAACAGTAGTAGTAGTAGTGTGGTGTGTGCTACTTATACGAACGATATAAGTAGTATAAGAAGGGATGTGAAAGAAGAAGTCTCACGGTTAGAAGAGAAAAACGGAAAGCAAATGGAGCAAAAGCAAGAAATAAATGGAGTAGTACCAACAAGAATGGAAGAAGGATGGAGTGTTGGAAGTCACGACTCAAAGATGGTGTACAAATAGAGTGTTCAATGTAATGTTTTCGTTTTTAATTGACTCAGAGTGTAAGTTTGCATAATACAGTCGTCCTCGCCTGCCTCAGTCTTCTCACTAGTAGTAATAGTATAGACCCGATTGTGAATGCTTGCTTGATGTGGTGGTCAGGTTTGTTTGTCGCGATAATCTAACCGAGTTATATTGATTGGTTGGTTGTTTGGTTGCACGTCATTACAACACCTAAAGAACTTATCATCAAACTACCTTGTGTTCCCGGTGTCTATTAGTTGTTCATTGTACTGAAAGTGTCATGATCATAGTTTCGTCAAGATCATTATCATTATCCGATATTGTATTCAAGACTGTTGGAAGTAAGTAATCTTCTACAATGTGTGGAACTAGGAACTGATAACTGCTCATATTCTGATAGCAGTCGAATCGAATGCTGTATGGTACACGTAATATGTTTTGGTGATTAACGAATTATATCGAATTTTAATTGGGATAAACTTCATTGACTGTTCTTTTACAAATGGAATACATACTGAAACCCTACTGAAGTTACTACCTTGATGTGGTGGTCGGGCTTGCCTATCGTGATGACCCAACCAAGCTCTGTTGCCTGGAATTTATGTTCCTGAAGGTCCTACCATGCCAGGCAGGTTGATTGGAGAACGATGAGACTGAAAGCAGCTACTCAAGGTATGAGGGCGAAGTCGTACTGCTGACTGTGATTCCTCACGAAGCATCACGGGGTTGTGAAGATTGTTCGCGCACAATACCGGGGGTCCTGGGTTCAAATCCTGCAAGGTGGATCAGTCGTGGATGAGCACTGCCACTGATGAGTCCTATACCAGAATGAAACGCCCGTCATCCAGTGCTTCCAGGTTTCTAATGGTATTCTAACATTGATCGATTCATGGTTTCAAAAAAAATGTGTAACAATGGTAATTATTTTGTTTGTTTTTTTAAAAATAATTTTTTTCTTAAAATAAATTTTTATATTTTAGCATCGCTATGCAATAATATGCAATTGAAACTGCCATTAAGTAGTATATTGACAACATTAACTGATAATAGTCGAAATCTACTTGGTTCCGCTTTAATTTCATTGTTAACTAATCAAAATTTAAGACAAGACATTAATAATCATACTCATAATCACACAGTCGAATTAAACAATACCAAAATATTATCAAATGACAATGATGATCCTAGATTAGTATTACACCAACATCACCACCACCCACAACAACTTCAACCACAGCAGCAACAGCCTAATTCAAATGTAGATCCACGACTTTATCGTCGTCAACAGCAACAGCACCAACAGCATCCAATGTATTGTACCAATGAACCAGATTTGTATGCCCTTGCTACTGCATTAATCTCATCTACAAATCATAAGAAACATGACAAAGTCATGGAAGTACAATCAGGTGGTATAGAAAGAGAAATGGAACAACAAGAGAATAAGATACAAGCAACTGCTAGTACTACTACTACTACTGCTACTAGTAATAGTAATAGTATTAGTAGTAGTAGTAGTAATAATAATATTACTGTGGAAAGTTCTGTTGTGAAAGATTTAATTCCTGCACCATCTAGTCCAGAAATGGAATATAAATCACATGAGATTGCTACACTTAATTCACAAGTGGTGGCGTCGTCGTCGGTGTCGACCACAACGTCAGCAACGATGATGATGATGAGTATTCAACCGAAAGAGATACCACTTGATGTGCAAACTGTAATACATCCAATATTAACATCTAGTCCAACTCAATCACCGTTAACTGAAACAATACATCAAAATGTATCTATTGATATGGAGATTGATGAGACCAGTACCAATATGAATCATCAATGTGATGCTACTGCTGGTGGTGGTGGTCAATCACCTGAATTATTGGATAAAAGTGATATGGAAATTGATCATCTTGGCAATGATGAAGATAATAATAGTCCGTTAACATTGAAATATCATGAACCTGCACCGAATCCACCGAAAACCACTGTAAGTGATAATTGGAATTGTCCAACTCAGTTGTCGTTATTATTAACTAATGATTATAAGAGCGTATCGTCATCATCACCATCGGTTACAGTGAGACGATCTACTCCATCACGATCTAATGATTCATATAGGTCAGCGAAATCTATTGTTAATAATAGTCGACGACGTATGGACAAGCCATTGGCGTATAATACAGAATGTAAATATGATAATTATGAACGAACTACTACTATTAGTCGTCGATCTCGTAGCCCTAGTTATCATCATAGATCAAGAATCAATAATTCTTCATCACGTGACTATCATAGATCTTCGCCGAGTTCAAGGTATGACTCATCAAATGACAGACGTAAATCTAATTATTCCGATTATTATCATCATCATCGTTCATCAGGTGGTCGTTATTCATCAAGAAGAAGTAAAGACAGTCGAACTAGAAGAAGTCAACGTTTATCACCGTCACCACCACCACCACCACCTCTTCGTCGTCGTCAAGTGTATGATGATGATGATGATGATGAGTCACCGTATCGGCGATACTATTCTTCTTCTTCTTCTCGTCGATCACGTATAATAAGAAGAAGTCCATCGTATAGTGATTCCGATGCATATTATCATAGTAATCATTATCGTTCATATTCTATTGATGATTCGTCATCAATTACTGGGACAGATTCAAATTCCATTGTATCGAATAAAAGTCGTAATGATAATTATTATCATCAGTCGAATGTGAAAAATAAACACGACCACGAACACCAGCAACACCAACACCAACAGCAACAACCGCATTCATTTAAATCACAACAAATTGAACAAAATTCACATCAAACAAATGAGTATAGTACACTGAATTATAATGAATTCAAATCGGAATATTCCAAGGAAATTATGAATCATTGTCAAAGTTACAGTAATAGTAACAATGAGCATAATAATATTAATATTGATAATATTAATAACCAAGAAATCATTTCGACTAGTATTGATAACAAAATTCAACATTCCATTATTGACAATCAAATTAAACAGTCTGAGAATTTCAATACTACTACCACTACTACTACTAATAATAATATTAGTAGTATTAGTAGTAGTAGTGATAATAATAATAATGATTCACATATTATCGATAATCCATGTAGTAAGATCAATCTAATCAACACTGATAAATCGGATTCACAATCGATCAATGTCAGTCATCATTCTATGGTTGATGAAAATGAAGAAGAAGGTGAAGTGATTGACGATGAAGATGATGGAGATGATGGTGATGACGATACCTTGTTGATACCTTCAAATCGAAATGGTTATACTACTACTACTACTACTACTAATACTACTGAAATGAATTGGTCAATTAGTAAATCTTCTAGAACTGATAGAAGAAGACATGTTATTAATAACACAATGACTAATCATCATTCTAGCACGACAACAAGAAGTACAACATATAAAAATCGATATGATGAAACAATCAATCATGAACATGACAACAACAATGATCAAGATGATAACGAAGAAGAGGATGATGACGATGATGTTGCAGTTGATCCAAATTCATTTCAACGTTTACAAGTTGGTTATATTTTAAATCATTTAAGTAAAAATTATGCTGCAAATGACCAAGTCGACTCAAATGGTGATGTGGATTGTCGACAAGAAATAACACATTCAATAGAAGATTGTACTACACAAAATAGATCACGTGATAATGACGACGATGATTATAAATTGTTAGATGAAACATATAATAACAACTCTACAGAAATATCAGATTATTCAATGCAAGAGGGTAGTGAAATCATGTCATTAGAAGATGAAGATATGCGTCAAATAATAGATCATCGATCTATGCTAATGAAACATCATGTTAGTTTTTATCCATCGAATGTGTATGATCATCATCGTCATCATCATCATCATCATCATCATCATCATCGTGAACATGCATCACCACCTGCACCATCACCATCACCACGTACTCGACGTCATCTATCGAAAACTATCACTGATGATTCATTTTCCGATGTTGAAGGTGATGATGATGATGATAATAATAATAATGATCATTATGCGGAAATTGTTAATCTTTATAAAAAAGATATTGATTATCGACGACTTCCAGTGAATAATAATCATAATGAACGTCAACATCGTCCATCATTACTTGGTAATTATATTGATCCTTCCATATCCTACAATGCATATGAATCACAGCCTAGATATTCATTTTATCAACCAAAATCAATAACACATACTAAATCTTCGAAATCCAGCCATAAAAATCTCTACTCTCCACGTTCTTCATCTTTATTATTATCATCACCACATGGTGGAGAAGATGGCACTGTTGTTCCATCTTCATCGAATCCGTATCGAACTTCTTCTGAATATGCTGAGATTGCAGCAGCATATTATCGTAGTAAACCTAAAGATCAACCATTACTTGAATCACCTTGTATACCACCGATTATACCTTATGTAAATCCTGTCATTCTCTCGCATGCCTTGAATCCTCCTTGTCTTCTTCTTCCTACTACTACTGTCATAACAGCGACAGCAACAACAACTGTTCAATATCCTTCGCTTTCTGATTCAAGTATACCACCGGAACATTTATGGTCTTTAACAAATTCATCATACTATTCACAATCTGTGAATATTTATAATCAATCATCAAAACCTTGGCAATAATTCACATATTGTCAATGTGTAAGTTAAACAAGCAACTAGTCTACAGCTAAGCTCTACAGTTCCATTTCTTCTCTTTGATTTTTTTTCAACTTGTACGCATTTATTACTTAAATTCAATATTATTAGTAGATAATGTTGTATAAAAATAAATAAATATTGATGGGTTTTTTTTCCGTGTTATTAATAAAAATACAATTTATATACATACATGATGCATATTTTTTATCTCTGTTAATAATAATAATAATAATTATTATTTGAAATTGGTTTAATTTTTTTTTGTGTGCTTGTTTAAAAAATAATTCCAACTGAACAAACAAACAAGCTGGTGTTGTTTCTTTCATGCAAAGTGTACATACACACATTGACAATTGAATATTCTTAACTAAATTGTTTTTTTCTTAATTATTTTATTTTATTTTCTAATCAAAATCACAGATATATATTTATTATTATTATTACTATTATTATTATTATTATAAATATTTATTCGGATAAAATTACGATAAAAAATATATTTTTAATTGGAAAAAATACAAAAACAACATTATCCTCTTTTTCTTATTCTTATTCATATTATTGTTACGCCTGCATGTAAAAACACGTCAACTTGATATATATACTTGAACTATTCATTATGAGTTTACCCCTTTAGTCGGTAAAACGAGAGGGCGAGGATCGAGGGTCCTCGGGACCGAGCCCCTGGTCGTGGTCAATAAACGTTACAGATAATGCGTATTTATACATTTTTTGGTCGAATAGGAAACAGCATCGAATTCTGTGACATTGACAGTTTAGGACGACCAATAGGAAGTAACATTTGAAGTGACATTGATAGTCAGGACAACCAATAAGAAACAACATTGAAGTATTTGACTTTGACAGTTATAACGACCATAATTTTGACCAATAGAAATCGACCAATAGGATTTGACCAATAATTCTCTTAGGATATTGGATGAATATCCTAACAATTATGTATGGGGTTTTAGTGTTTTGAAATAAAAAAAAACTGTCAGTCCTTACAGAGAGCGAGGGATGGACAGACACCAGGAGACATTTTATTCAACTAATAACATTCAGTGGAAAAATTTGCAGAAATATTTGAACAGAAAAATAAGCAAAATCACATGCCACAATCGTGATTGGATATTTTTTAGTTATATTGTTATTCCTAGTGTTAGTATGGCTTGTTGATGACTTACTTACGCCCCGTTACTCTAAATGGAGCATAGATAGGTCGTCGATCAGGTTTCTCCAACCAACTCCATCCTGGGTTTCGCTTTCTAGTTCTTTCTAATATTTGTTCATTTTTCTCTTGTCTTTCTGTACTTCTCGGCGCAATGTTATTTGGCCTTCCTCTGACCTTGAGGGTTCTAATAAAGAGCTTGGTCTTGTGACGCAGTTGTGTGTGTGTCTCGCAGTGTGTGTCCTATCCACTTCCACCTCTTCTTCCTGATTTCCCTCTCCATTGGAATCTGGTTTGTTCTCTCCCACAGTTCGTTGTTGCTGATGGTATCTGGCCAACGAATCCGAAGTATTTTGCGTAGACAAAAGGTTAAGCAATACTTGTATCTTCTGGATGATGGCCTTAGTAGTTCTCCATGTTTCCGTACAGTTCCATACAGTAGAACTGTCTTGATATTTGTATTGAACATTCTTACTTTGCTGTTGATTGGTATTAGTTATGAGTTCGAGATATTTTCGAATTGTAGAAATGCAGCCCTTTCTTTGCCGGTCCACGCCTTCACATCATATCTGCTGATGAACTTCCTAGAAACTCGAGGATCATGTTTGACTCTAAACTAACGTTGGAGCAAAGCGCTCATCCCATGCATTGTTCTCTTGAGTACAAGTTGTAGTGTGTGTGCAGACTGAGTAAGCAGCGCTGTTGTTAAGAAACGAGTACTAGGTAAGGATGGCAGATCAATAGATGAAGTAGTGAAACCTCACCATTTGACCTGGTTGAGACGTGCGTTGCGTATGCCTAACCACCGAATGCCTCGTCGAGCGATGTAGGAATAAGTTGGAAGAAAGCTAAGGGAGGCCAAACCAAAACATGGCAGTCACTAACAAGTGGACTGAGTCATGTTGGTAGATGTCGACTACCTGGTTGGAGTCCGCGAGACGCAAGTCACCAACGGTTAGAGACCTTGAACGACATGGCTCAGAATCGTCCGCAATGGCGCAGGTGCATTGATTCTTTGTGTTCTCTCAAATCCCAAACTTTTTGATTCTTCATCACTTTATCTTTCTCTTTTTAAGTCTTTTTCACAAGATCCTACTTCTTGAATATCTTATAATCCTACTGCTTATACCTCTACTACTATTGGATTTGAATCGACAATTACATCTCTGCTAATGGGGTATGGCAACATGAACTGATGTACGTACGTACGAAGTTCTACGTAGCTATTTATTGACTGACCGCTTACGTAGCATAGCCCGCTCGATGACAAACATTCTTATTTTCTGTTCTAGCCAATTGCTGTTCATTCTTTTGATGTTTGCTTCCTATACTCGACATAATGTGTTTCTTGGTCTACCTTATTTGCTTTGTCCCTTTGGATTACAAGTTAAGGCTTGCTTTGTGACGTAATTGTTCCAGTTAGTCATCAGAGGAAAGAAAAAGAGTGATAATAAGCAATCTTATCTGACGCTAATTGTCCCTGTCTATAAGAGAGGACAAAAGTCCTCTTCTGACAATCACATACGAATCAGTTTAATTAATATATTGTCTAAAATATTAACTCCAATGATACTTGGACGCCTAACTAGAGCTCGTGAAGAGCAGACTCGACCTGGACGTAGATGTATGGACCAAATATTCACACTACGTCAGGTCCTGGAACAAGGTCAGACGTCCTACGACAATATTATTCTCCGACCTCAAGGCGGCGTTTAACTCTGTTAATCGTGAGGTTCTGTGGCAGTGTCCCTCATGGAAAGTTGTACCAAATGAGTACATTAACTTCAAACAGGCTTTTTACTCGAATACTAGTGGTCGAATCACAGCTTATGGAGAACTGTCATCACAATCTTATACTTCAAATGATGTCCATCACGGTTATACACGTCCTCCATTCTTATTCATCTTTTTTTGTTGACGCGCTTTTAGAGATGCCCCTTTTATCATCTGAATTTTCAGAAATTGAACTTTTACCGTGAGATTCACTTGTCGATTTAGAACATGCCGATGACAGTTCTACTTGGCGAAGACCAAATGCAGTTTTCCGAAGAACCTAAGCAACAATGAGAGCATGTTCTCGATGCGACACCCCGCGAAACGCAAAATGTTACTACACGATTAGCTTGGGTCAGCACCTATAATAGTGATAGAGAGTGAGATGAGCATATTGACCACTTCACTTATCTTGGAAGTCAGTATCGGTGAACTCCCGACACATACAAACGGCTCGACTGTCATTTTTTAACT